TCCAATTTTCAAAGTGACTTTAGTTAGTCCCTTGCCAGCTCTCTCTGGACATGGATATCTCATTTTCATCTCTATCTCATTTTCATCCCCCCGCCCCCATTGCTAAGACACATTTATACCACTCTACCTTTACTAGTTGTTTTCTGGGATTAAATGTTCTTGGAATAAACCTGTTGTGCTAACAAACTAATGTGAAAAGGCATTACAACACGTGGGCTTAATGATTTCAGCAGTACCCCCCCAACACACACACACACCCGTCCTGCCTCCGCTAATCTCCGCTTTTTCTCTTCAGCTGCCAGTGTGGGGGTACCTCCCCCCACACACTGAGCATGCCCAGCTAGTTACTCCAAAGCTCAAGTGTGGGACTAAAATATGGGTGCCATTTGTAGAGACCCAGAGAATCTGGGTGTTGCTCAGTACGTGCACAGACTTAATGATTCAGAAAACAATCTGCCCCTTTTTACAAACCAGCACTTTTTAAATCCATTTAAGGAATGGGGTAGGAGGGGATCAACCACAGTAACGTTTTAAATTTCTGGGTGCTTCCGCTTCATGCCTGGAGCACGGGGTACAGCGAAGGGGTCCTTCCGGATTGGTTAGTGTCCGGAGAAAAGGCAGGCAGAAGAAGGAGGGGAGGAAGGGCCACTTCTTGAGCAGGGTGCAAGGTCTTCATCTGACCTCTGCGCCTTACACCACACGCGCACGCACACAACACACACTCATGCCGGTCACGCAGCTCCCGGCTGAGTCTGGGCGGGCCTCAGCCTTGAACTGGCCTGGGCCAGGGCAAGACTCCCACTCCTGTAAGGTCTGACAGCACAGGGAGGCACCTAACTGAGTGATCTTACAGGTGAGCTTTGAAGACATATTTCCCCCCACGAAAACTTGTGTATAGCTTGGTTGGATATAAGTCCATACTTGGACCCCGCACCGTAGAGTTTGGCTCCATAACCAACCAATCTCTTCGCGAAGGCCAGAGGGGCTTTGCGCAACTAACACTAAAGAGTGTGAAATTAAATAAGACTTTAAGACTGGTAATCGGTGGCAAATACCAGCAGCTCAAAACATGCCTGACCCCGTGTCACACATTTCCCTCCTCAAGGGTCTGGCTTTGAAAGAATAAGCAAAGAAAACCCAACTGAGACAATTCTTGAATGTCTTCGGACTTGAAAACCTAAACGTCGCACTGGGCTTCCCTTGCTCCACCCTCCGTGGAGGCCTTACAGCACCTCCAGCTTCACTAACTGACCATCCTCATTTTTCTCTGGAAAGGAAATTTCTGTGATGGAGGCTGAAGTCATAGTGATTTCTAGAACCAAAGAAGAGTGTGCAGAGGTTGGGGGGATATAGAGGTAGTACTCAACCTGCAAAGTACAAGGATTACTTTCAACCCCTTCCTTATCTATACTGTCAATATCTGTGCACCCACAGCGTTTTGGTAGATTAAGTCTCCTAAATTGCCAATCATCACCACCACTGTTTTCATTGAAAAGTGTTTTTTGGTTTCCCATTACTCACTTTTTTTTCCTCCATCTAGACTTTTCATGTTGGTGTTCTCCCAGCATCCATGGAGTTGGGCCTGAGAAGGGGGTCAGCCAATCTCACCATGTGTGAAGTGACTAGGCGATTAGGAGAGAGTTGAAACTCTGGCTGGAAAAATGCAAAAAAAAAAAAAAAAAGCCTTATTGGCTCAGTTGAGTGGGGGCAGGGGGTATATATTTCATATGTGCATATCTAGATAGATGGTAGATAGATAGATTAGATAGATAGATAGACAGATATTATAGATGGATAGATAGATAGATAGATAGATAGATAGATAGATACGGTTATAGTTTTTTACTTTAACCAGACATCTCCAGATAATTGTCTTTATTCTCCACTTGACTGTGCACTGGATAGTTACGATTTAAGATTCCTTATCTTTTTAGGGTTTTAGGCTGCCTGAAGATCGCCAGCACTTCCAACCTCTCCCATGCTTTGGCACTCTGAAGCGCTGTCACTCGCCCTTGGGTTTTTCAGCCACTTTGAAAGCTGGTTTGGAGACTAGGTCTTCCCATTTGTGTGTCTGCCTTGAAAGTTCTGTTAGTTAACAGAGCCACTGAGTTTAAATCAAAATCCTGTGGGTTTAGTGAGAGATGAGCTTAGAAATCTACGTTTCTGTGGAGATTCTCGGCTCTCCTGAGTAAGGAGTTTTGAGAAACACTCAGAGCCTCCACCAAAAAATACCAAGAAAGAAAGTATGCTCACTGTAGTTTATCATTTGTTCGTATGATGGAATCTTTTCATGAAATGAAGCTTCATGGGGGTGTTACTTTGGAGATCGGAGCTCTACTGAGGTTTAAAATAAAAGAAACTGGAATATGGTTAGTAAACACATTGGGCAGAAAAGAGCTGAATTCATATTGACTTAGTTATAGGTCATCGTCTGGCAGTGCAATGGGAGGAAATATTTACTTTACACATATACTTTATGATCTTGGGGGAATTAGAGGAAATTCAATAAGAAAATGGCTAGAAACATTTAAAACCCTTATTTAAAAGACTTAAGCAAATTAGAGTCTTATCAGATTAAAAACCACTACAAATGTAAGAGCATTGTCTTCGGTGAAACGCTGTGGGGTCTGAGGAGATTCTCCGCCAAATCTCAGGGATAAAATGCGTCATTTAAGCACCAGATAATGAGCAGAATGTAAATTAATTTAACCTTCTTTACCAACAGGCTGCTGGTGTAATATGTATAATTTAGTGATAAGATTGCAGGACCTAATATAGCTGGATGTGTGAGTCTCAGCTAATGCAGACTTGTCGCATGAGGATGTGTTCTGCTCTCAGCAGGTGTGTGTATGCTTGGAATGGGGTGAACTGGAATAAAAGGTTAAAACAGGAAATGCTGATCTAAAGCGTACTATAAAGAAAATTCCTCCTTTCAGCTCAGTTTTTCTTAAAGTGGGATGATACTTCGGGGGGAAACTGAAGAACAAGTGTCATTTGCTTCTTTGGTTGGCTCTCAAGCATGTTTAAACTGGGAGAGGAGTTGCAGACAGGGTTTGGCGGAGAGAGCCCGGCAAAGGAGAGACACATAGGTTACAAACGTAACTGCGGTCTGCCTCATCCACTCTGCCCCAGACTGAGCAAGTTTCCCAATCTTGTGAAGGACAGGGAGGGAGTTTTCTGAAGCTCATACTGATGTTAGAAATCATTGACTGTAATGTCAAACAAATACACATCCAGGGATGATAACACTAACTCCACAATAAAGCAATCATCAATGCAGAAACCCAGAAGGGATTAGTTTGTCCTCTCCCGATGACCTAAGTAAGCAAAGGACAAAAGGACTTTCAAAAGTCATTTCGAATGATATGTTTGTATTTCTTTAATTCCTTTGGGAATTCATTTTTTTGGAAACAGTGTTGTAAAGAGTTGGATGTCCCCAAAGGGTTTCTTTTTTCTTTTTTAAAAATAAATGAATAAGGCTTTGGTTTTCTGAGCTGAGTGTTCTCCTAGGCTTTTGCCCTTCACCCCCCTTCTACTGCCTCTTCCTGCTTGGACTTTAATGATTCAACAGCCTTGAGTTCCCTAGGAAAAGAAAATGACTTAAAAAATACCCTTGGAAGTGGTTATTTAGCAACATTCTTAATTGTATGGAAATTCATTAAAGTATATTTTATATATAATTAGCTCAAGGTTGTTGATTCTGCAGGCTTTATGGATTTGAATCTGATTGATAATAAAGTAAACAAGAGAGTCGAATTTAAAGCGGGCTCTCTAGGGTTAGGACAAGCTTAATACAGTGTACAAGGAATTTGAAAGATCTAGGATATGTGTCTTAATCAACGCTAAGTAGAATGGATAAGCTTTCAGCATTTTGAAAATGCTGGGTTAGGGTTTCTATTCTATTGTGTATTTTCTGTCTGGGGTCTAATAAGCATTACAGAGAACGTGATCTGAGGCGACTTTTTATTCTTGTATAAATCCGGAGTGAACCACCAAACAGTTGTTCGTTTAAAGTCAAGGTAATTTTCTTTTGACGGGTCCATTTGCTTCTCGATTTCTAATTTATTAGCCTGCCTTCTCAAGGCTTTGTCTTCTTCGCAATGAAAATAAAGCTTCTTCAGATTAGCGCAGCATTCACTTGACAGGCTGTTTGGAAAATTTAAGATCGGAGAGGTGATTTGTTGCTGTTTTGTAGATTTTTCTGGTTTTAAGTAGCATGCCTCCTTTCCATACAGGAAGAAAAAAAATCTCTATTTTGGAAATGGATGTAGTGAGATACAAAAAGGAAGGGGTGGGGAGGCTTGATGATCCTTGTACCTTTCAGCTCTCGACCTTTCCGCTCCTTTCTCCCGAGCCTTTGAAACTCCCAGCCTCATCTCTCCACCTCCCCGCCTGAGCTAAAAGCAAGACCTTCTTAGGCTGGGCCGGAGCAGAATTCCCGGGAGCCGGCCGGTGTAGACTTGGTGGGCACAGTGAGGTATTAGTCCAACCCCGCACAGCTGATAGGTGCAGACGGGGCTGTCCCTCCGCCGCGGCTCGGGGCCTCCTGATTGGTGCGGAGCCACGTCACTCCCGCTGGGCGAAGGGTCTGGGAGGAGGCGGAGGCGGGGAGCGTTGGGAGGGCCGCGGCAAAGTGACGTCTGGGCACCAGGAAGCCCGCCTCTGGTTTTAAGATGTTAGGCCAACAGGGAAGCGCGGAGCCGCAGAGCTGGTCCGCCGCTCGCCTGGGCGCCGGGAACTGAGCTGCCGAGAGGCCGTGCGCGAGCTCCACGGCCCGAGGGGGTGTGCGTGTGCGTGCCACGGAGGGGGCGCCCGGAGGCCCGCGTCGCTGCCGCAGCCGCTGCCGCCGCTGCGGGGGATCTAATATCAGCTACCTGTCCCTGTCACTCTTGACACTTCGCTGTCAGGGCTGCCGCGCGGGGGGCGGGCAGAGCGCGGTCGCCGTTAGCTTTCCTTATTGGAGGGGTACTTGGGGGAGGGAGGGAGGGAAGAAAGGGGTCTTTGCCCACTCTTGTTTCGCTTTGGAGCTTGGAAGCCTGCTCTCCAAAGACGCTCCGAGCGGCGCCCTCCTACCTGCATCCCCATGTCTCCGTTTGCCCGCTGACTTTCCGCCGCCGGACCGACCCTAAGGCTTGAGCCCTCCGAAGGAGACGGGGGCCTCTCGGTTCAGAAGGATTCAGCAGGAGTCGTGCTCCCTGGCTTTGCCCGCGGCGGCCACAGCGGGGAAACCGTGCGCGTGTAGCGCAAAGCGGAGCAGGCGGCGGCGGCCACGGGGCTACGGCCGGGCGGCAGCCCAGGACTTGTAGGGCGGCGCGCTCCTTCGTCCATGAACTGCATGAAAGGCCCGCTTCACTTGGAGCACCGAGCTGTAGGGACCAAGCTGCTGGCCGCCGCCTCGTCTTCCTCCAGTCACCATCCCCAGCCGCTGGCCATGGCTTCGGTACTGGCTCCCGGTCAGACCCGCTCCCTGGACTCCTCCAAGCACAGGCTGGAGGTGCACACCATCTCTGACACCTCCAGCCCCGAGGCCGCAGGTAAGGCGCCGCGCGGCCCCGCAGACCCCGGGGTGCAGCCGCCCCACGCCGCTGGGCTCTCTCTCTCCAGGAAGTCGACCCCTCCAAGGGGGAGGCGTGGTGGGAGCCGTCGTTTAGTTTGCTTCCCGCATAACTTCCGGAGCCAGGATTCTTTCGGCCCCGAGTTTGTTTCGCCCTACCTCGACCGCCCGGCCGGGGTGGGGCGAACTGCGCGAGCCATTCTCCTGATCTGTCCTATTCCTGTCCTGGCCTCCCGATGCTCTCTGGGTCACAAAAAAATCCCGGCATCTCCATTCGAAGATGATCAGAAGCCACCACCCCCGACTTTCCAACCCAGGCTCTGGTCTCTCCGCTCCCGAGACGCTCCGCTTATGAGAAAAGTACTTCTGAAACTTATGTCGCAGAAGAGGCGGTATTTCTAAAGGGTAGAGGAACTTGGGTGGGGAACCAAATCCCAAAGTCTACCTTCACTGGTTGTCCGAAACCGCGAGATCTGAGGGGGTCTGGGAAAGGGCGCGCGTGTAGGTGTCCGGAAAACTCCGGTGTGTCTGCGCGGAGGAGTATAAACATACTTGAAAGCAGAGGCTATAAAAATGAATGTGCCTTCACAGTGAGATAAACATGTAACTAAAACGTGCGGCGCTGGGGGAGGGGAGCGGATGGGGCGCGCACACCCACACTCACGTCCGCACGCCCCACAGGCGCAGCGCTCGCCGCGGCCCGGAGAGGCCGCTCGCACCCTCGCTCCCTCCGGCCTCTGCAAACCGGTCCTTTCGGAGTTCACGGGTAGCAGGTGGGACGTGCTGACCGGTGCCTCTCTGTGTTTCGTTTTCAGAAAAAGAGAAGAGCCAGCAGGGAAAGAATGAGGACGTGGGCGCCGAAGACCCGTCCAAGAAGAAGCGGCAGCGGAGGCAGCGCACTCACTTCACCAGCCAGCAGCTGCAGGAGCTGGAGGCCACCTTCCAGAGGAACCGCTACCCGGACATGTCCACGCGCGAGGAAATCGCCGTGTGGACCAACCTTACGGAAGCCCGAGTCCGGGTAGGACCCCGCACGGAGCCTGGGAAGGCTAGGGAGAAAGGCATTGTAGAAATGCGGGCCACTTAGACCCGGAGGGAGTGTGGAAGGCAGTGTCCCCCGGAAGGCGCTGGTGCTGTGCCTTTGCGAAGGCAGAAGGCCTCTCCGCAGCCCCAGTTGCGAGGTTACAGCTCCCCCTTTCAGACCAGCGGTAGTAGGCCTGGCGCGGGCGCCCGGAGCTGCACCCGCTCACTACCCCGCCACCCCGAGCCCTCCCGAACTGGGCCGCGTGGCATTCCCCTGCACAGGGCATTGTGTTCCCGGCCTGCAGTCGCCGGAAGAGTGCTAATAAAATCCCCTTCCAGGCCTGGAGCCGAGAAGAGTCGCCAACCCGTGCGCCTTTTACAGGGAAAACCCACCAGAGACCAGTCTGATTCCTCCTTGGAAAACTTTCGCCCCCAGTCTCGCCGGGCCTTTTCACTCTACTCGGCTCATCCTCCTTACACACAGTCTTTTCGAGTTTTCGGCCATTCAGGTCTCTCCCACTCCCTGATCCTTAGTTTTGTGATACACACCTACTATCCTGCTAGTCTTCTTAGAAAAGAGAAAAGAAAGAAAGACTCTGGTTTGGTTTATTTATCTTTTCTCAGTAGATTGTTACTCATACCCTTCTCCCTAGTGATAATAGTTTTATTTTTTAAGGTGGGGGGGGGAACTTACCTTTGTAGCAAATCTGTACTTTATGCATTGGCAAAAGTAAACTTAAATAAATTACCCGGTAGCAACATCCTGGGTTATTGGTCAGTGGAAAACTCCAAATGTGTTAGGATTCTGGAAGCACACAGAAGAGGGATCCAGAGGCTTTGCTGTTAAAACAAAAACAAAACAATTCTGGATAGAAAAATAAGAGCCTCCAGTTAAAGCAGAGAAGAAAGAAGAAAACAATAAGAATGGCAATAATGATGAAAAGTGTAAAGACCAAAATGTATTCCCAAAGCAGAGGGAACAAGAAAGGCAATCTCTGGGTTGCATTTGTGGAGGGTGTGAGGCTATGCTGGTGGATGAGAGCCGGGATGAAGTTGGAGATGGTTTTAGTTTAACTGAACAGAGATAGAGCTCTGACTCGGGCCGCGTGGTTTTCCGCAAGGTCAGGCTTTGATTAGCTCTGCTGTGCATCAGGGGAACGGGCCTCGCACGTACTCTTCTTGCCTGGGCAAAGTTTAGACGGCCTAGGGTAAAAATTGCAAGTAATTAAAATAAAAACACAATCATAGGTTCTCCGGAATCCTTCTGAAAAGACTTCTCCCACCCCTCCGGCTTTCCCGCAGTCCCTCCCAAGTCCCCCCACCTCTACCACGCTGGGCTGTCGCTCCCTCTGGCTGCCTCCTTCCAGGCCGGCGGTGTGTCCAGCCAAGTGGGAGTGAAACGTGCTTTTTTATAGCAGTCGGGTGCAAAGAGGAAGGAGGATAAAAAGGAAACCGAGAATGAAAGGGGAAAGGGGGCAAAAAAAAAAAAAAAGCGGATTAGGCGGCTGGGCTCGGCTGAGATGTGTAATGTGAAACATCACTGGTGTCAGCTCTGAAATCTGGGGCCAGGCCTCGCTCCAATACACAAAAGCCGCCGTCTGCGGCGACGGGCGGGTCCGATGTGGATTGAGAGAAGGGTTGCGTCGGGGCCACGGGACGCCGGGTGGCGGCTGACCGGGCCAGGAGGCGGCTTGCAAAGGCAAGCAAACCCGCTGGGCCCGGCGGGAGGAGTGCCGGGCTCCGGGGGGCAGTCCTAGAGTGGGGAGGGTGAGTAGGAGTCGAGGAAGGGAGGGGGAGGTTGCAGAGCGACCCATTCTGGGTTCCCGGAGATTTACAAGCCAAGCTTTTGGAGTTTAGGCGACTGAAGGGGAGGTGGTCTTCTGCTTTTTAATTTGTTATTTTGCTGGCTCAGGATAGGGGTTTCGGCCTGGCGCCAGTTGTGAGAGCGAGTTCTGTGTCGTGGAGGTGGGGGGGTGTGGACGGCAGAGAAGGTCTGAGGCTGGAGGGAGGAGCTGTGTGAGGGAGCGCGGGCCTCTGGTGCCCTCTTAGCCACTAGTCTTCATCACTGTGTCTGTGGCTTTGGAATGGAAGCAAGTTAGCAGGGTGGCCGGGTAAGGGTTGGGCGGAAAACCCGCTGCCCCACGTTTATTTTACAGTAAGTGTGTTTGGATCCTGAGGAGGGCCTGGGTTAGTGAATGAGCTGTCCGCAGGCCGCCAGGTGTTGGACTGGGGTTTGTGGTGCAGTTCAGAGCCTGGGCCTCACCAGGCTGGGCCTCCCTCCCTTAGAAGCAGTTCAGGCAGCTCCTGCCCTGAGGGGCAGCGGTGGGGTTTGGGGGAAATTATGGAGGGGTGTGTGTGTGTGTGTGTGTGTGTGTGTGCGCGTGCGCGCACGCTGGAGATGGGTGACCTCTGGTGCTTTCTGGGATCAAGGTTTTACTAATCTGATCTGTGGCGTCTGTTTGCTCCTTTGCCTTCCACCCCCCAGGTTTGGTTCAAGAATCGCCGGGCCAAATGGAGAAAGCGAGAGCGCAACCAGCAGGCCGAGCTGTGCAAGAATGGCTTTGGGCCTCAGTTCAACGGGCTTATGCAGCCCTATGACGACATGTACCCGGGCTATTCCTACAACAACTGGGCGGCCAAGGGTCTCACGTCAGCCTCCCTGTCCACCAAGAGCTTCCCTTTCTTCAACTCTATGAACGTCAACCCTCTGTCGTCGCAGAGCATGTTCTCCCCGCCCAATTCCATCTCCTCCATGAGCATGTCGTCCAGCATGGTGCCCTCAGCCGTGACCGGCGTCCCCGGCTCCAGCCTCAACAGCCTGAATAACTTGAACAACCTGAGCAGCCCGTCGCTGAATTCCGCGGTGCCGACGCCCGCCTGTCCTTACGCACCGCCGACTCCTCCGTACGTTTACAGGGACACGTGTAACTCGAGCCTGGCCAGCCTGAGACTGAAAGCGAAGCAGCACTCCAGCTTCGGCTACGCCAGCGTGCAGAACCCGGCGTCCAACCTGAGTGCTTGCCAGTACGCGGTGGACCGGCCGGTGTGAGCCCCGCCCACAGCACCGGGATCCTAGGACCGTGCCGGATGGGGCAAGGCTGCCCTTGAAAGACTGGGAATTACGAGAGAAGGTCGTGGGCTCCAAAGGAAGGGAGAGAAAGAAGATATAAAGAGAAAAGGAAACCACTGAATTAAAGAGAGCTCCTTTGATTTCAAAGGAATTTCCTCAACGTCTGACATCTTTCACTAAAAGTATTTCCAACAGTTGCAAGGACACACACAAATGTTTGACTGGATATGACATTTTAACATTACTATAAGCTTGTTATTTTTTAAGTTTAGCATTGTTAACATTAAAATGACTGAAAGGATGTATATATATCGAAATGTCAAATTAATTTTATAAAAAGCAGTTGTTAGTACTATCACAACAGTGTTTTTAAAGGTTAGGCTTTAAAATAAAGCATGTTATACAGAAGCGATTAGAATTTTTCGCTTGTGAGCAAAGGAATGTATATACTAAATGCCACACTGTATGTTTCTAACATATTATTATTATAAAAATGTGTGAATATCAGTTTTAGAATAGTTTCTCTGGTGGATGCAATGATGTTTCTGAAACTGCTATGTACAACCTACCCTGTGTATAACATTTCGTACAATATTATTGTTTTACTTTTCAGCAAATATGAAAAAATGTGTTTTATTTCATGGGAGTAAAATATACTACGTACAAATTGGTCTGGATTCTTTCTGCTGCCCTCCTCTGTCGCCTGGCCAGGGTTTCTCAGTCATTGCTTCCTAAACAAACCAGTTTCCCTCTGCCCGCCTAGCTAAACACACAAGGCAGCAGGACTTATTCAAATTTGGTAGAAATAAATTATAGTCATTCATCAGAAATGAAAAAGAAAAAAGAAAAGCCACTCCCAAGGGGGGAAAAGAAGCCTGCAAAGTCTGGTCTTGTCTCCCAGATTTTTCTTTGGCTTAAACCCAGAGGATTCCATTATTGCTAGGAAATAATATAAGAGAGAAAGAAGAAAGGGAAAAGAAATTTAGAAAGTATGCCAGCTTTGAATGACTCTCAAATATACTCCTTTGGCGGGGGAAAAAGGGGGGAGATTCTACACATCCAGTAAATTGTTCTGGAGAAGCGTGTGTATGTGTATACATGTACAGTTTATATACATTCCTCTCAAGAGGAATATATCTATAATAAGTTTACAAGGAAACACCTCCAGTTCAAAATATTTAGGCCTCCACGTTTATCTTTCAGGCTTAAGTAGAGAGATTCTTCATGTTATATTGCATTCTATTTCCAAATCCTTATGAGACATTAAAAGAAACAAAGACCATTTCTAATAACTACAGCCCCTTAGTTTCCCAAAGAGCCCAGGGGTTGAGAGGTTAGAGTGGTGTTTCCTGAGTCTTGTCGAGCAATATGTAGTTGAGGCAAAGGTCATGCTCCCCGTGTTTTGTTTTAAATAATATTGACCCATTAATTCTAAACCTGCTTGTTCCTGAAATTATACAGGATTATAGTTTGCAAACTGCGGGACAATGAAGCAAATCAAGATGAATTACAGCCCTGGCCCTCCCTCCCATCCTCTGACATCTAAACGGGGAATGAGGTCCGTGTGAGTGTTTAAAAGAACTTTAAGCACCCGTTCTTCCTTTGTTGGTGGTTTTCAGCTTTTTTTTTTTTTAATGTGAAATTTGATTTCGTAACAAATCGTAGCAAATACGACTTAGTCCGAAGGAATTCATTACCGAGGCGCTGGGGGAGGGGGAGTGAGGGGTAAATCCCGAGGTCTCTCGCTACTCGGGTCACCGTCCTCCCCCCAGTGGGCGAGGATAAACGCAACCCTAGGGAATAGGGCGTGAAAAGTAGGCAGCAGTTTTCTGGAGCCGAGAAAACCTGTGTTTTTGCGCTTAGGTTACTTTTATCGGACTGAAACTTCACCTATAAGCTTTTGAGTCTCAGACACTGAGTCTTTGTTCTACATAGGACTGCTGCTGCCACTTAGAGAGATCGCAGATAATGTCCCCGATTTAAGATCAGTGCTCAATGCACATTAACATTCTTTCTTTCTTTCTTTCTTTTTTTAAGCTCTGCCTCTAACCTACGGAGGGATCACGCGGCAGTGGGGGGCAGATAAAAGCCCTTTGGCCGAGGGTCACCTCCGTCCTTGTTGTTCACTTGAGAGCAGTGGAGAGGAAAACGGTCCCCACGGGCGGACTTTGGCTCCTGAAGCCGCGGAGCCCAGCGGTCCGGGCCTCCCCGAGCTCCGCCCGGTATGGGGGGAGGGGCGGCCGGGCAGGGGAGGGAGGGGACTGCGAGAGGGGATTTGGGGATGGGGGCTGGAAAGGCCGACGGGACCTGCCGGGAGGACGTGCGTCCCCTGCAGGTCCAAGAGAGACTTGGGAGAGCTGGATACGGGAGGGCCTAGTCTGCTGGCTGAAACAGAACTCTATTTCGAGGAAATCAGTCTCCAGAAAACAAAAATGGAAGTCGAGGTTTGGGAAGAGTCGGTCCATCCCCAGCCTGAGTGGTGCGGGCTGGGGGGCGGAGACTCGGGACGCACGAGAAGCCCTTTTTCCCACCTCAGCTCCTTCCCCTGGACTTCCAGAAAGAAGAATTCCCGTCTTCACCCCCACCCCCCCACTTCTTCCCAAACCCATGCCCACTCGCACGCCGACCCGTTTCTGCACCTCTTTTTCCCTTCAAGGGAGAAAAGCCTGGTTCCTGAGCCAGTGGAGTCGGTCCTCTCGCCCCTCCCGCTCCCACGCGGGTCCCCCTCCAGCCACCGCTGCTGCCACCACCTCGGTTCCACTCAATCGAATTTTGCTGCATGTCAACACTTATTACCGGTGAGTGTGAGGGTATTTTTTCTCCTTCTCTAGGTCTCTTAATGATTTCTGAGCTAGTTGTGTATTAAAGTGCTTAAAGGAACCTTTAAGGTAATCTATAGCATGAACACCGACCTCCTCCGCTAGGGATCAAAGATGGCGAGCGGAGGTCCGGCCCCCCAGGGGCCCAGGCCTCGCAGGCCTCAGCCCTCCGCGCGCCCAGGGGCCGGGGCGGGGGTGCTGCGGCAGGAACCCCACGCTGAGAAGTCGCGGTCTAAGGGCTTTCCCCTTCCCCCTGCCCCCAACAACCACCCCTCACCTGTTACTCTAACCCTCTCTCCCGCCTGCCCTCGCTTTTTCAACGTTTAAAATTCCTAAGGCCTCCAACGCCTCCTTCCCCTAGGAGCGAATTCAAACTGGTGGAGACCTGGGAAAAGGTGCGTGTAGCCCACGTTTGTCTCAACTTCCTCCCAGGTCCTAAATCTGAGTGTTACTGCCCATAATTTGGTCAGAAATTTAATTTTAAAAACTGTGTCGGGCAACCTGGGTCGTGTAAGGCGTCTTGATTTGGAGGTAGACCCTCCCCTTCGCCTCCCGGCCCTTCTCGCCCTTCCACCCCCACCCTTGTCCTGAGTGGTGCTGAAACCCGGGAGTCCCTTTAGGGGTGTAACAACAACAACAAATAATGAGGGGGAAAATGAAGAGCATCTTAAAAGTCCCAGTATTCCTCGAAAGCCCCATAAATTAACCCTGTGAAAAGCAGCTCTTTTAAGGAGAGTCTATAAACCCTGGCGCGTTCTCGAAGGAGGATAACCTCCCCCCCCCCACCTTTCTCCCCCATCCCCACCCCCACCCCGCATCGCGAATGTGACCAAACAAAGGTCTGTCCTGCAATCCACATCCTAATCCACGGGCGCCTTCGCCGCCGTCGCCGGGGCTGGCCAGCCTCCCGCCCGCCACTCTTCGTCAACGAGGCAGGCAACGCCGGGAGTCCCCGGCTAGACGATGTAAATTTTTTAGGGGCGGGGGTGGGGGGAGGAGAGGTTGTAATCAGATCAGAGGCCTTTATGAATATAGAGTTCCTATTGATTGATTTATAAACCCCCCGGCAAGCAGCAGTTAATCTCGGCGCAACGGGAAGCAAGGAACGTGGCTGATTGAGAGAAGCGAGGTCTCGAAGTAAAACGGGAGAAATTTCTTGCAGATTTTCAGAAGGAATTTTTAAAAAACTATCCTTCCTCCCCCAGCGCCCCTAATTCTGACAATTGCATTTTAACTGAACTTGAGAAAGTGATAATTGAGGAAGAGATTTTTTAAAATAATAATAATAATGGGTTAAGTACAGATCTGATTTTAGACACAACTAATTTTCCTTTTTCAGGTTTTAGCAGACTAAAGCGGGGAAATTTTACTCTCCTCTTAAAAGTTTATTTATCATCCTGCTTCCTAACCCCTCTCCCCCACCTCCCACGAAGGGAGGCCTTCTCGTTGTTAACTTTCTATTTGAAACGCTGGAAACAGAATTTACTGTGGGATGCATAACTTCATTCACTTCTGAGCACTTTATGCATTTTATGTAATGTTGATTTTAGATCTTGAAACCTACTACTTGCTGCTTCTGTTGTAACAATGTATTAAGAGTTCAGTAGCAATTGTGGAAAACAGGAGATAGTTGAGGCTCAAGTTACCAAGCCAAAAAAGTGACTAAAAGAACTATCTAAATTCCTCTTTAAAAACATTTTTTTAAAAACTTGTAATGGACGTATGGTAAAGGTGTTTGTTTTTGGAGGGTTGTAGGGGGGGTTGCATTTTATTTTTACTTCTCTGGGAAGGGCTAAGAGAAGTTGAAACTCATTGATTGGGTCCTCCCAGAGCAGGGTGTGTGTCTGCACCCTCTGACTTTGATGGATCTTTCCAGACCTAGTTCTCCTGATCTTCCTGCAAAAATGTTTAAGGTGTTCCCCCACCCAACATTGCCCTCTTTTCCACACCCCCCCCAATCTTCCCACTCTCCTGTCTTTACCCACTCCAAAGTGTTTTTTGTTCGTTCTTGTTTTTTTCCTGTTCTATCAACTTAGAAAATGGTCCGTTGCTGCTGGGACCTCATATACCAAGCAAAGCTAAGGTTGGTTGGGATGGTTTCCTTAGAGCCCCAGGACTATCAATGCTTCACCCGTCCAGAAGTAGCAAAGCCTTTCTGTCTTCTGCGACGGTTTGTGGCAGCGCGGGACCCCCGGCACGCAGTCCTGGGCAGGAACACTTATCCTCGCCCCTCTGGGGAGATGAGACCTAGAACTGTCACAGCTGTCCCTGAGAAGGCAGTGGGGAAGCGTACCGAATGTGACGCGGAGCCCGGACTAGTGGCAACCCGGTTCTTGGGCTCTTTCCCCGTTAGTTCGGCTAATGTCAACAGCCCCCTCCACTCTGCTTCTCTGAGTATCTGGGTGGAGTGGCTGCACCCACTCGAAGCCTGGTGGTATCTTTCTCTGTCCTCGGGGATGGACTCCCGGGGCCTTCTCTGTCGTCACTTAACGCGGCCGCTTGTGTTTGGTTACGGACGAGTAACCGTAACCAATCCGGCGGTGTGCGGGTAGCTGGTGGGTGGGTGACGCTAGTGTGGACAGAGGAAGAGACCCCGCAGGCCATCCCCAGTACCGAGGAAAGGGTTTTGCCGGCCTGAGCCCAAGGCTACAGACGACGGGTCATTTTGTTAGAAAATGATGTAATATCAATTAAAAAAAAAAAAGTAAAACTCTTTCTGCGGGCCTCGGGCGATGTTCCTTCGCAGTGTTCTAACCTTAGCGCCTCCACCCCTCGCTTAAAATCCGTGAAATCTTAGGAGCCACTCTTTATCTGATGAGGCAGGGTCTTGTTTGTTTCTTTGACAGGCAAAAAAAAAAAAAAAAAAAAAAAATCGGGCCTGCGAATTCTAGGCTGCAGCTCCATGGCGTGAAGCTCCCCTCCCCAGCCGGCAGCACCCCGCCCCCACCTCTGCCTTGTCCGCCGCCGAGCTCCAAGGGACGGCAGTCGGGACATCTGACAGGACCTTCTGGACTCGTAGATCCACGGGAGCCACGTGACCCAGCTCTTAGAAGGACCCTAGGTGCCGCCCCTCCACCTGAACTTGCCCCCAGAGATAGCTTCGCCTTGGGCCGCCCTGAAGCGCCTGAACTGTGTATCGGGGACAAGCCGTGTCCTACCGCCTTCTATTGACCAGGACAGCTGCTTTATCTTAATGTTCTTTTTTTTTTTTTTTTTTTTTGGCCCTGCAACAAGGGGAAAAGGACGATGGCGAGTCCTGCTGCTTCGCATTACCCTGACGGTATTTTCAAAGGCACCGGGAGAAGTGGCAGCCCAGACGGCAACCTCCGCACGTCCGGGAACCCCTTTCGTGTCCCCTCACGAGTGTCCGCACGTCCCTTGGGACACCACCACCGGAATCGAATCCTCCGCTGCCGCCGCGGGCCCGCCTCCCTCCGGCGTCCCCAAGCGGCAGCGCCAGGCCGGCTAGCGTCGAAGCCGGGACGCTGGGGCCGCACAGCCTCGCCGCCGGCGCCTTCCAGGGCAAAGCGCCCGCCCGGCGTCCGCGCGCACGTCGGCCCCGCACGCGCCGAGCCCGGCCCCGGCGGCGGCGTCGTGGGCGGTCGCGGCCCAGCAGGAGCGCGGCCTCCTGGCTGCGCCCGGGCCGCCGACCCGCGGCCCCCTCCCGCACCCCCGCCACTTCCCTCCTCACCCTCTCTGGGGCTTCGGTGCCTTCATTCCCGAGCGGCCATATACCTTGAATGGGTCATTCCTGCCTGCCTCCCTAGAGCTGCCTCTCGAAGCCCCGAGGTTGAACATTAACTAGGCGGAGCTATAGAGTGGGGTAAAACGTTACATATAAAAATGAATCATCTATCCGATCCTGGGAGAGAGGACCTATAGAGAGCTCCGCGCCTAGAGCTGCCCCGGCTGCGTCCCCGGCCCAATGCACAGACCCTTCTGGCATCCACTTCCTAGGGAGCATTGAGCCGCCCGCGGCCGAGGTCAGGTGGGGGCGGGGGCGACGGGGTTATCGAACCCGCCGTTCTCCTCGAGTGGCCTGATGTTTAGGCTTTCTAACGCAATCGAATTTCCTTTCCTTTCACGCCTGAGGTACGCAGGTCTGGGGCAGCCTCTCCTATCTCAGCAGAGTTAGTTGGGAGTACGTGAGGCTCGAGGAGGGGACGCTGCCCGCAGGGTCGAGACCCCAGGCTGGTCGGTCGACTCCGGGAACCGGCCGCCAGCCCTGGCGCTGCGGACGGACCCTGGGAGGCAGGCTGGGCGGGTAGAGAGCGGAGCGCGAGCTGTGCAAACGCCGGTTGGAGCCTGAGGGGAGGCGCACGGTGGGCGGTGCGAGGGGCAGGGGCGGGGGGAAGGGTGCGTGGCCGGGAGGCTGCGCCCGGACGCTCGCCCTGGCCAGCTGGGCAGCTGAAATCCCCGCCTCAGGTCGCATCCCCATCCCCCCTCGCCTGGGCCCTGCCTGTTTCCGACTCTGATTTATTTATTTACTTTTAAATATAAGTACTGACTAAACCCACTTGCCCAGTCAAATATACAGAAATGGTGAAAAGATAACAGCGGGGAAAGAACTCAGGAGAGCGCACCTCCTCATTTCTTATGCCCTCACCTGGAATCGTTAGCAACTCGTGGTGCTTGGTAAATCCCTGAGTAGAAAGGCGATTCCATCTGTACATCTCTCGCTCCCTCCGTCTAACCTCCCCATTCCCCTCTCGCCCATTCAAGAAAAGAGAGAAAGTTAGGTGCTAGCAATAGAAAGCTGGAATGTTATATAAAGCTTTCAGGAGTTGTCAATCAACCTGCAGAATAATTGTACTTCTTGAGATGATTGGTTTATTTCTATCCGGAGTAGCTGCTTTCCTCAAAATGTGGTGCCTGGCCCATAATAACCTCTCAGTAAAGATTTCTTTAACAGGACATCCCCTACTCCCCACCCACACATTGGAGTCTATCTGTGACCTGTTCATTGAAGCACCATAATATTTACTGAGAGCACTCACCCAAATCTTTGTACTTAGGAGTGTGAGAAAGTGGTTGTGGTGGTGTATGCATCTGGTGTGAGCTGTGCATCATTCCATTACTCTCATGGTCATGCCTTAGCTTCTTAAAAAACCACTTCTCTAGTGTGTTTATAGCCTGTTCAGTGATTGTGAGAATTTCTGGCAGGAGGTAGAAACTGGCAACAGTGACATTCAGGAAACAAGGTTTCAGAGGCTCAGCAGGCATCAAGCATGTGGTGAATATCATATAATTTGTATTAGTTCTAGGAGAAATGACTTTGAATGTAAGATGTTGTTACAGAATGTTCCTCACTTCATATAATATCAGTGCTCTGCCTTCGGAGCACACAGTAATCTGTGTGAACCCAAAGAGCAATACAACCCAAGATTGTCATCACCCAACTTTGTGTTACCCCACTTCTCCATGAAAAATAGAATTGGCTCAAATGTTCTACCAGTTAGCTCCCCAGAGGGAATGAACACATCAAGGCAAAGAAATAAAAAGAGGTATGAGTCACGCTCAGTTGGCCTACAGTGACTTAGAGACACAGAGAAACATAGGTGGAAAAAGGACATTTACTTTTAAAGGTGCAGGTAGCTGGGGAAAGGGATAAGAGAGAGGGTATTGCAGTGTTCACTCAAACTGCCTTCTCCGCCATCGAATTACCATGTTATCTGACACTCTCAATCTATTTGTGTCCTGGGTAACAGACAGTTTGACCAAGAGGTCATAGACTAGAGGGCTTGGGTGATTGGAAACAAGTTTGACAAGAAAGGAATTTGGGTGGGGTGCCACCCTGGAGGTGGAAAGATGAGGCCACAGTGGTGGCGGCCGCCTGGCAGCCCCAAGTCTCTGCTGGACTCTGCATTCACATGCATCGCCTTGTCAGGGAACAGAGGTGAAGAGCTATCAACACAGCTTTATGGACAAGAGAAACCTGTCTGTCTCTTCACATCGCTTTTCTTTACCTTCTCTTTATTTCCTGCCATCCTCGTTTCCTCCTTCTCCTTTTGCCCTTTTCCATCTCAGTTGGCTCTCCCCAGAATTCTGGCTCTTGGATTATCCTCTACTTGTCTCCTCTTTTGACAAGGCTTCCGATTGTTTGCAGTGCTTACAACTCCAGATAGAAAAAGTGGTTTATCCAATCAATAGTCTACTTGTCAACTATTTGTATTCATAAGTATAGAGTGCTTGTATGCACAATAAAGGTGTCAGGGCCAATAAGTAAAACATGCAACATCGGAATATACATGTCTTTTTCACAGCAACAGAGGGACCGTGAACATTCTTTTACAAAGCCCCATTGCTGGCTGCATATCCTGGAAGGGTCAGTGAACACACTCCTTTCATCCCAGGAAGCATCACCCTTGGCGTTATGACCAGCAAGGTGGTAAATCTCAGTTCGGTTTACTATTCGCAATTTGGAAGCTCCTCTTCTGCCTGAAACTACCACCTGTAGACTTGGGCGGGTTGTCAAAATTATGTGTTCTAAAAGAATAAAGATACAGTTGGGTGTGAAGTTTATGTGCTAACATGATTTACTTTCTGCATCTTTCTGTATAGAGCTATTTGTTGTTCTTGTACTATATCCTATTGTTATTGGCTCAGCAGTATTTATGGGAGTGATTTTTCTGCCTTTTACGGTTGGAAAGCAACTTCATTGTCATCCTCCATTTTCAGATTAGAACTTAGTAGAAAGTTGTCTGTCTCCACAGAAGATTTGTCCCATTACCACCCTTCTTTGATTCCTTTTCCTTTGTAACTTCTTCCAAAATCTCCTTTAGAGATAATTCTAAATCTCACAATTCTCTTCCTTCTTAGTTTTTAAATTTCATTTCCGGGCACTCAGTGTTCCCATACCTGAAAACTCTAGATTATTCCTTTGTCAATTACCATGTGGGATGGATTAGTGTGAGCTGAGATTTTGGGGTCATTTTCTTTTAAGCGTTTTTTGGGAGCCTGGAACAATACTTGGCAAATAGTAGGTGTTCAATAAATGCCGACTGATGAAAGGGCATAATTAAAACTTTTGTACACAAAGATCAAAGTTCAAAGATTAAAATCTATTGAACTGGCATGAATTAAATCTCAGACTAATTCTAATTCATTTCTAATTTTCTCTCAACAAATCAGATATGTGAAAGAATTCCACAGCAGAAATTTCATCTTAATATTTTTTTTATCATCACTACCATCAGTTTTATTACATCAGAGCATTTTTAGGATAATGAATCAAATCGTTCATCATTCTTAGGATGATCATCAGGGCTTGTAAGATAGTGGAAAATGTTTAATGTTTCTTAATAAAATAGCTTGGAGAATATGTGGTGAGGGAGACACTAAAGAGATGTGTATATGGTGGTTGGCAGAGGCGGCACATAGATGACAGATGTATCTAGCCTATAATGTCAGGATATAGGATCATGTTACTGGTTAAGATATTATGATCTCCAATCTCCACAATTATTTTACACACTTAACAATTTCACTCTTCATAATATATTGTAAAACATAGTGCTTCACAATATATAGACAAAATTCTTTTTTCATCTTTATAGTTAGAGATAATAAGGAACTTGAAAAGTTAAATAAAAAATGTTAGTCAACCCTAGAACAACAAAAAAATATGAATGCAATCAGATTCTACTAAAGTCAGACCAAACAAACCACAGTTATTTTTATTTCTGCTAATTATTGCCCCATAAGCCTCCAATATTTGTGATTAATTTATTGGTGGCAAAATATTTCCTAGATCACTTACCCTATTTACCCCCCACTTGCCAACTGCTATCATAAACAATAAATACATTTCACCAGAACAGTAAGAAGATTGGCATTACTGTTGAGAAGACAAGTACGAAACATTTTATAATTCTCGTTATATGCCAGAAAAAAAAGGTTTTTTATATTTAAAAAAAAGTTTTGATGTTTTATTTATTTCTGAGAGAGAGACGGCATGAGCAGGGGAGGGTCAGAGCGAGAGGCAGATACAGAATCTGAAACAGGCTCCAGGCTCTGAGCCAGCTGTCTGCATAGAGGCCGACGCGGGGCTCGAACCCACGAACCGTGAGATCATGACCTGTGTCGAAGTCGGACGCTTAACCGACTGAGCCACCAAGTGCCCCCCTCATACTTTATTATGCTAAAAAACAGACACACACATATATAAACAAACAAATATATAAATGTGGGGGCTAAAATGGCAGAGAATTACAATAAGATGAGTTTAACAGTGCCACCATCTCTACATCCCTACCTTGCTGTTCTTTAGAAGCCACTCTAGAGAGCTGAAGATTCCAAAAATCAAGGGGGAAGATGAGTGGGAAACTGTAAGATGTGATAATAGACAAATTACCTTTGATTGGTTCAGGCACTCTAATCATCAATTTAAAAAAAATGATCTACACACTCAAGAAACAATGGGCCAATATTATTTTCACAGTACTTTAAGTGTATTTTGTGCCATTATATTTTGACCTGATTTTATGTATAATCTTTTCTAAATGTAACTATAGGGTGGTGCAAAAGATCTGATTTATTGAATATTTCTATGAGCTAAGCACTGCGCTAAGTGTTTTTCACATATTATCTCAATCAGTTCTCACAACAATCCTATAAAATAGATACTGTTTTGTTTTTATTTGTCAGATGAGGAAGCTGATGCTCAGAAGTGACTTGCTTCAGGCTGCCTGGCCAGTGAGTGGCAGGATCAGGCCGAGAATAGGACTCAAACCAGGCACAGTCTGACAGATCAGGCCAACCTAAACGGCCACTGTAAAAGAATTCAGTCTTCTGTATTACTTTCTGTTGATGTCATTAGAAAATGCCATTCATAAAAGACATAGATTAAGGAAATATATTAGGAGTGCTATGAAAATAATGTTGCCTAGTTAGTTTATGAAATGGTTAGTGTTTGAAAAAATGATGATTATAGTAAAAGACCATCAAGGGCAAAGTTGTTCTACTCTTCCACATGTGCCTCAAGACACGTTTCTTAGACTAAAGTAATAGGTATGACCTCTTAAGCTATTTTCAAATGTGACATTTTATTTTATTTTTTTTTAAGTAATCTCTACCTCCAATGTGGGGATTGAACTCACATCCCAAGATCAAGATTTGCATGCTCTACTGACTGAGCCAGCCAGGTGCCCTTGAACTATGACATTTTAGATATGATAGGAAAAGGAGCAAACTCTTGCAAATATTAAAGAAAGAATTTACACACACACACACACACACACACACACACACACCAGTTGGTATATTATGAAATGATTTTTCCTTGGTCTTGTACGTTATGACCTGCTTCTTCCTTTGTTGCCTCTCCTGACCCTTCATTGTCACTTTCAATGCTAACTCTAAGTATCAGCTTAAATATCTCTGGAAAACACTTCCTTGACATCTTGGCATTGGATTAGGCCAAGGTACCCCTTCTGTGTGCGCCCATGCCTGTATCAAAGCACATAACACACTTCCATGAACTAAAGACTTTTGAAGATTATAGGTTAGTTATTTTTTAGCATGTTTTTCAGTTTGGTGTGTGTGCGCGCGTGCGTGCGCGCCTGTGTGATATTTTCATGTGATTATATTCCAATTACATATCTTCTGTGATATTCAAAAATATCACAGAAGTCATGCTGTGTTCTTAGGCACACAATGCCTGCTTAAACAATATTTCATGATGTTACATTGCTTACTTGGTTTAGGTGGCATCAGCTAGCTTCTCTATTGTATTATTACATTTCCTCTCTTTGTAGTTAGTATTTCACAAGCATAAAGCATTTCTTTACAGTGAGAAACTGAAGCTTCCTGCCAACAGCCATGTGTGTGAGCTTGGAAGTGGATTCTCCAACTGTCTAACTGACTGCAGCCCTGGTCACTAACTTGACCACAACCTAAGCTACTCCGAGATTCCTGACCCTCAAAACTGAGTGAGATAATAAATATTTATTGTTTTAAGAAGTTAAATTTTGAGTAATTTGTTACATTGCAGTATATAACTAATCCACTACATATGGACTTCCTATCTTCCAATAGTTTTTGTCACTTTTTATCTATGACAGTCTTCCCACTTCTTCGCAGTTAAGGGTTCTCTCTCTCCCCCGACCCGCACCATTGTAATAGCATTTGGGGGAAAATAGAGATAAATCTATCTGATTTGCTGATTTTTTAAGCTTATTTTTTTATTTTGAGAGAAAGAGAGACAGCACAAGTTGGGGAGGGGCAGTGAAAGAGGGAGAGAGAATCCCAAAGGCTCCATGCTGACAGCATAGAGCCCAATGAAGGCTCAAACCTAGAAACTGTGAAATCGTGACCCCAGCCTAAACCAAGAAGGGGACCCCTAACTGACTGAGCCACCCAGGCGCCACTTAATTTACTGAATTTTACCAGAAGTCCAAGGAGGTGAATCTTAAGCACAGATTTGAAGGAAGGAAAGGATAGGACTTAGTGATGCTGTTTAAGAAAAACATTTTGGGAAAAAAAAAAAAAAGAACAAAGAGAAACATTTGAGATAGAAGAAATATGAGATAAACGCTGAGACAGAAAAATAAATTTAAAGAAAATAAGAAGCAACTGAAAATTGTATTTTATTTTATATTTAATAAATAAAATTCTGATTTTTAAAAGTATAATTTAAGAATATTTCTTTCGTTTGCCCAGCACTTTCTCCTTCTGGAAACAGAAGTGTCTTCTTTTTGAAGGAAATGCTCTTTTTTTTTTTTTTTTTACTTAAACTGTATTGTTCTAATGGAGGCTGCCAATTATAGAAATGGTCTCTCTGTTCACAAGAGGAGGCATATGACCTAGCCTGGCCCTTTGGTCCCTCTCTGGGAGTTTTCAAGTGAGATTGAGAGAGAAGTAGTCCTCTCATAAAGAGATATCAAAAGTGAGGTTCCCCAAGGCCGAAGGCTGCGGTCTCTGGTAAGACAGAAGGCTGACTCAGAGAGAAGCACAGATGACAGTTGAATGGAGAGAGAGTCTAGCCTGTCTAGAGTCCCTGTTTCTTGTTCCTTGAGTTCCATGCCCTTCCTGAGATTTTGCTACTCAGGTCAGTATTTATTTCCTGGTTTTGTCCCACTAAAATTGGGTTTCTGTTACTTTCAACCAAAAGAATTCTTGCTTCAATAGAGTGTCCCTTTTCCTACCCCCATAAATGTCTTCTTCCCTGAGGAGAGTAGAAGAAAGTGCTTTTGGAACCATGATTTAAGATTGTTTGGGTGATCCTCAGAGGAATCAGTGTAAGAAGAAAAATCTCATCTTCTAGTGCCCTCTGCTAACACTGTCTGGGAAGTGTCGAAGGGGTGAAGGAGAGTTGTGTACACAAACACACACACACACCTGTTAACTTTTTTTGCCAACACAATACTATTTATTGAAAGTCTATTATATTTCAGGCACTTTTACAAACATCTGTTCTGCATTAGTCCAAGAAACTAGATTTTTCATACAGTTCCTAATTATAGATGAGATAATACTTTTAAAGATAAAAGATGTCAAATATTAGTTTTTCCAGGAAGA